TAGCCCTTTCCCAATGTGTAGTTGTTTGATTCTCAGAAAGTAGCAGGGGAAGAAAGGTACTGCCTTTCCCCATATATGAATACATCCTGGTACCATGCTAGATCAAGAGGAAAATCATACAGAATTTGGTTAACTTCATTCATCTGATTCAGGTTAGACAGTAGAGAAAATGGAAGCATTACAAGAGTACTACCTGCATCTTCACAGTGCCGCCTGTTCTTTTTCTACTATTTTTCCTGTTGCTGTTGAGCAATTACCCTTCAGGAAACCCATTTTATTTCCTTAAGGTAACTGCGGGAGGCATTGCTTGGGAACAGCAATCTTGCTCCAGAGCAAGCAATCTCCTTTTTCTCTTGATTCCACTTTCAGGCTACCAGCCACCCTTCATCCTGCTGTTGTGAACCACAAAGTATTAAAGCATTTCTACGGGAAAATGAAATAAAACTGATACTGCTTTTATGGTCCACAATTTCATTTTACTTTTCTTTGTGATGAAGCAAGCATGATGTTAGGTGAAAAAACAAACATCTTTTATAAGACCAAGCACACATGAAATGTGAGATTCAGTTTAAGACACCTAAATATAGACATGTACACATGTAGTAAGTGTTTAAGCTTAAAGTCAATGGATACCTAATCAATACAGGCAATAAAGCCTACAGAGCAATTGAACTCGCTCTACACAACTCATACGTGGCCAGCTGAATCATTCTCTAGCCTCCATTGACTTTAATGGCAACCAGACACCCAGCAAGCATGTAGATGTCTAAATTTAAAGTATCTTAATCTGAGGTTTAGTCTTTTCCAAAGACACAAAATTCAGTAATTTCAAAATTTAAGATTCAAATGCTAAGATTCAAATTCAAATGTTAAGATTCAAATACTTGCTGTTACCTCCTTCTGGATATTAATTCACCTTAATTCTCTATTTTATATACATTTTTAACTTGATGCAGTCTTATGGAAACTTATAAAACAGTTTGAAAAACAATGTCATCATAGCAATTCAAGGAGCACTAATTATTGGTGTATAAATTGTAAATCTGAATTTTGCTGCTGAACTTGCATGTGTAAACTAACTGTCTGTGCTTTAGGTACTGCACCTATAGGTAAAGTTGCCCACTTGGTAGTGAAAGTGCTTTGAAGCATACAGGTTAAGACACCTAAAATAAGTAGGTATGTTTTATCATAATTTTGATTTGAGATTGTAAAGCAAAAAATGATGTGGCAATTTTTGTTTGAATAGGACCATATTCTTCCTTTTGCCTCCCCAAGAATTTCCTCTAAAAATTTCAAGGTATTCACTTTGTACCTCTTCCTGAAATTATAAGATTTGTACTGCTTTCTCTCAGCAAGGATGACTGTGTGGCCATGTTATGCATATAGCTCTTGGAAATCATTTGTTCTCATGCAGGTGATTTTCACCAAACAACGCTGGGTTCCCATTGCTATTTTAATAGGCAATATATCCTTTAGCATTGGAAGTGGAATTTTAAACTTCAAGGATGGCATCAAGGAAAATTACATTTTATTTGTACTAGAGCCTGCATTTTTCTAACAGATGGAGAACTTGGGGTTAGATCAGAGTTCAAGCAGCCTTTAAGTCTAGACTTGGCCCAGATTTCTCACATGATTTTAAATCAATGAACGTAATGGCAACTAATTTCCACTGCTCTAAAATTGAAATAATACTTCCATGGATATTCTGAGCTGTTTCGTTTGGGTTATACACATCTGAGATGAAAGTTAACCTGTATGCACGCAGTGCCTAGCAAATCAATTTTTGATGTCAATTAATTTCAAAATGCCACTTGATAATATTTACATTATACTTAATAAGAGGACAATACTACAGGGAGGGATATATTCTCTTATAGCAATGAACGCATTACTACATTTTAAAGACATTCAGAAGTGAGAAGGAAAATGTTTAGTTTGGTGGTAATTCACAAGAGCATAATGAATTACAGCAAGAAGAAACTGGCACTAAAAAAATCCTGCCTTTTAGGGGGAAAAAACAGCTTATCATGAATGTAACACTATAATTCATTTTTTGCTCTTTGAAATGTTTTACCATTTGAAACAGAACATTTTCCATTATTCTCCAATTTGCCTTCAAGGTTCAGATATGATTCATTTTGTCTCTCTGCACAGAAGCATTGGGAATATCAGCCTGCTTTCTGAGATAAGTTTTAAACATTTCCAGCCAATGAACTGAAAACAGAAAAATGTGACTCTCATGGTTTTTCCTAAGGTTTTAGCCAATTTCCAAAGGCAGATCTCTATCTTTACTGATGCTATGATGCCATCTGGTGGCATTTAGGAAAAATAAACTCCAATTTCACTCGTCCATGAGACCAAGACTGCGGCATAATCTTTCATAGAGCCCCTTGAGGCCTTTAGGCTTGGACCCCTCCAGATCACATAACAGTGAGCAGGGAGAAAGAGAGGCAGAGAGGTTACGGGATTTGTCCAAGCCTTGTGGGCTGACTCTGGGTCTATATATACGTCCAGTGTGTCACCCAAAGCCGATGCATCTTCCTAGCTTTGTTAGGTCTAAGTCATGGATTTGCAGTCTCATACGGTATTTTTATAGGTACCTTCCCAAAGGTGAGTATACACATCTCTCAACCAGTCAACACTTTGCCATATTCGCAGCACAGGCATGAATTAGGAAATTACTGTGATCCTCCTCTTCCATGTGGAAAGTTGAGGCTTAAAAAAAAATAAAGCACCTTGCCTAAGGTCACATAGAAGGACAACAGCAAAATCAGAGAATTAAATCCAGATCTCCAAAGTTTAAATCACTTACTATGCTTCCTGTCAGAAAGAAATTTAACCAAGCCTGAGTTAATTAGAAATACTAGCTTTGAGGGTACTGTTTGTTCTTGGTAAATCAGATTTGTCATGTTCTGAGAAACAAATGGGAAAACTATTTCAGTAGGGAAGTAAGTGTTTCTGAGGGATGAGACAAGAAAGAACAAACAGGGAGAAACAGACCTACTTTGTGCAGCCCTTATAAAATTAAGGTGTCTGCGACCCTTCACCAGACAATGGTCTAAGATTAATCAGCTCTAAAAGTAGCCTGTGCATGACATTTGTTTCATTTGAATATGGAAAAATGGATTCATAATAGTTATTTGTGACTAAATAAGTCAGCAGTGCCTGCCTTGGTGATTGCCTGGGGATATGCATGCAGTCTAATTTGGTAATAATTTGCATCCCGCTTTGCTCAATGAACAAATAAACTACTCTTGCATGATAAGTAAATGCTGTAGCAACACTGGTAACTTTAATTAGAACTTATGGAAAACACTGCTATGAAACAGACAAAAATCAGTGTTAAAAATTCAACTGTGGCAGTATCCTACAGTGCTAAATACACCCTTGCTTAAAAATAAAGGAAAGTGGACTTTTAAATTTGTATCTGAGCTGCTGGATTTCTGAATACTATGTACTGTGAAAAGCTTTGATCTCATAGTGCTCTTTCAATCAGCCTTATTTTCCTGCATCTAGCCAAAGAAAAGTAAATTGCATAATTGTCTTGAAGAAATTTCCATTTCTATTCTTTGGGTTTCTTGCCTATGTTCTCATTTGCCTTCCTTAGCTCTTCAGGTTGATAACATTATAAGAGTCTATTTTGGTTTTCTTGCAGTTTCCTATGAACTTTCTACTTAGGGATCTCTGTAAGGCACTTAAACATTTTTCACTTGCCCATTCTCAGTTTTCTTAAAGCATTTTCAAGGAACAGGTCTAGATAAAATATACTATTATGGTCCTCACAACTTCAGGTTACTGCATCCCCTTGGTGTTAACTCGTCAGATTTTCCATATATTGCAAAGCAGCTCCAGCCACCTTTTCACACCAAAACTTTGACAGGTCGAAGGTAAATTCGCTTTTCATAGAATAGGCCAGTGGCCAAGAAACTCCTTAGCAATGTAGGAAAACCAGTTCCACATTCCTCATGAAGGGATTTAAACATCGACCAGGAAAGTGTCGCGTAACCATGCCACAAACCATCCAGGCTAAAGCCATCTTCCACCCCAATGCTAACCAAAGTGCAGGCAGGGATGCAAGATTCACAGGGACAGAAAGCACGACAGTGGGAGTGAGAGTGACACTGCAGCCTACTGGGTCCATCACTCATCGGGGATGAGTAATTCCTGTGTTTCAGTTCTTTGCCTTAAGGCTAGTTATGTACTTCGCATGAAACAGCCACAACTGTATCAATCTGGGATAGTTTCTTCTTTCTGTAAGGCAGCATAATGTGAAAGGATATTTAACTACAGTTCCAAGGCTTTAATTGTCATTCAAAATCCTTTATGTTCAGATTGTTTCAGTCAGATGTTCAATTACTTGACAGAGCCCATAAATGCGTGCTATCAATATACACATGAAAGAAAAATTAAAAAGATGTTTTTGAGACTAAGTATGCAAAATATAACCTCAGGCTACAAAGCCTTTTATCCTCTAAAATTTCAAAATGAATTTCAGAGTGATCATCAAATTCATTAGAGGCACAGAGATAATTAACATAAGCTAATTGATCTCCTCCTTGTATTGAGCCATTTGCTAAGCAGTTTAGTGCACACTAGATGGCACCCCCAGTCTAGATGATTTCATCCTACTGCTTTTTCTCCACAAAGAAAATCTGAAACTGAGAAATATCTTTGGACTCACTAGTGCATTTTGGGCAAAATGAAACTGAATGATGGGCTAAACTGGGAGATGCTGAGGTCTGCACTGTGTTTAGGTCTTCTCTGCAGTGTTGTCATACTGCAGGCAGCATTAAGTAGAGAAAGTCTCTGAGCTAAGTACAGGTAACACCATTAACAAATGCAATAAAAACCAAGAGCAACTAAACAAAATATTGAATGTTAAACTGCTTCCAGCTTGGATTTCACAACATGAAAACCAGAAAGACTTTGTGTGTCCCTTGCAGTATAGACAAAGAACAAGATTAAGTAGTTGGCCAGCAAAGCCCAACACAAATACTTACAGACAAAATTTGATCTCCTCTCTGCAGTTCTCCGCTGAGATCAGCAGGCCCGCCTGCTAGGATGAAAGACACGAAAATGCCTTCCCCATCTTCTCCTCCCACAATGTTAAAACCAAGTCCTGTGGAGCCCTTGTGCAGGATGATTTTTCGAGGCTCTCTGTATAAAAACAAAATGATAACATTTATCCATTCAAAACTCTTAGTGTGTACGCATTTTTCAAGGCATCTTAAGCATACTATATTTTGCTTAAGACACAATGGCCTGTTATTGCCCAAAGAAACCATTTAACAAATGAGATAAATCTGTTAATTGGAGAACAGACAGGGTAGGAATTAACCAGCATTATTTATTTTTTTTTCCTCATGGTTGAATCCAAACATCTCTATTAATTTCAGCCCACTGGAGTCATCTTCACTAAGTGAAGTGATGGATTTATTAAAAGAAAAACTGAAACACTGAAGATGTTTCATAATCTAATTTATAGCAATACTATATATACAGGTAGAATCAATCTTTACATGGTACCTTTTTATTTTAAGTTCTAGTCTTACTTTTTAAACAAATGAACAAAGAAAAAAATGTAAAACTCTAGGCAAAGCAATGGCATGTATGTTTGATCCTGAAAGATTTGGAGCAAGTAACATTTGTATGATCAAGGTAATAGAGCAGAATCTCATGAAAAACTCCGGTTTGACATTATCAGGTGCTTGCAATTGTAAAGTCACACAGCAACGTTGTCATCGAACCAGAGACGATATCTGCTTTCATCTTACTGGTTTAAAAACTTGTTCATTATGATGGAAATCAATGAATAATAACAGCTACATCTTATACAGCACTTTCCATCTGTAAATTGAAAATATGCCCCAAAGGATGTAAACATAATAATATGCATTGTACTGATAGGAAGACTTATGTCCAGAAAGAGATGACTTCCCTAAGTAATCAAGGTAACATCCTTGAGAAAGTGTCCCAGGTATTGTGGTTCCCAAGCTCTACTCTACATACCAGGCCTCAGATCTGTCTCTTCCTTGGATACACAAGCACACACAACTGTGTATACATACACACACCCCCCATATTTATTGGTACTTACCCCATTTCAAATCCCTCTAACAATTTACTTTTCAGAAAAAGTGTAAATGCTGTTATATTAGTATGTGTAAATCTTAAGCCCAGCCCTGCAAATACTCACAAACACATACATTTCCGTGTCTGTGGCTACTCACAGAGAACTAGGATGTTCTTCTAATTCTCAGTTTTTACAAATAAAAGTTACCAGCAAAGTGACAATTGTAAACACACACACAACATCTACAGAAACATGCTCCAGAATGCTTCCTGTAAAAAAGATCCAATATTTCCTGCGTACTATGTAACAGTTCTACTTCATATGAATGGCTTTTTCATTTCCATTTCATTTTTAAAGAAAAAAAGCAAAGCAAAGCAAAGAAAGGAAAGAAAAAGCAAGGAAAAGAAAAGAAAGGAAAAGGAGAAGGAGAAGGAGAAGGAGAAGGAGAAGGAGAAGGAGAAGGAGAAGGAGAAGGGAAAGGGAAAGGGAAAGGGAAAGGGAAAGGGAAAGGGAAAGGGAAAGGGAAAGGGAAAGGAAAAGGAAAAGGAAAAGGAAAAGGAAAAGGAAAAGGAAAAGGAAAAGGAAAAGGAAAAGGAAAAGGAAAAGGAAAAGGAAAAGGAAAAGGAAAAGGAAAAGGAAAAGGAAAAGGAAAAGGAAAAGGAAAAGGAAAAGGAAAAGGAAAAGGAAAAGGAAAAGGAAAAGGAAAAGGAAAAGGAAAAGGAAAAGGAAAAGGAAAAGGAAAAGGAAAAGGAAAAGGAAAAGGAAAAGGAAAAGGAAAAGGAAAAGGAAAAGGAAAAGGAAAAGGAAAAGGAAAAGGAGAGAGAGAAGTGATGCATCGAGGGATGTCTTATTTGATGCAAGTTAAGTCTTATGGCTGTATACATCATGGGGACTTAACCTTTACCTGATAATTCCAAAATCAGTAGGTGTTTGTTCATCTTTGCCCAGTGGTAATGTTCAAACAGTATCCCCAGACTGATCATGATCTTTAAATAACATCTCAACGTTCTGAAACCGAAGCTTAATATTTTTGAATGAAAAAACTAAAGCAAATTTTTTATAATATATTTAAAGGTGATTGTAACCTTTAGGAAAGTATCAGTCATACTCCATATGGTCCTCCATCTTATAACTTTCTCTTAACATTGTATAGTCAGAAAACAACCTTTTAAAAATACAGCTGTGAGAAAAAGACATATTGTCTTGAGTTTGTGTGTTCTTGAAGTGTTTTTAACTAATCAGAAAATAAAGGTTTGGGTTTTTTGTTTTTTTTTTCATTGCTGTTGATTTGGATCAATTTGATTTTTGATCAATTTGTTGAGTGGATCATTGCTGTTGATTTGTCTTGTAGTAACACTTTTAGCACCTTCTTAAATACGTGCAGATTAGACATAATGTAATCCAGATCTAAGAAGTCCAAACAGGTTTTTAATTAGGAAGGGTGGCCTGGGGGTTGGAGGAAACTAAGGCAGCTGGAAGCGTGGATTCCTTCCCCCGCTTAGCCCATGCACTACAGAGTGATCTTGGCAAGTCATTTGTTCTTCCAGCTTCAATTTCCTCATCCACAAACTGATACGGTGACACTTGTCATCTTTGAGTCCTACGCATCAAAAGTACTTTGCAATATTTGAGCTACTGCCATTATTATTTACCTGGGTATTGAGGAAAAAGAGGCAGCAAAGTCAAACAAATTCATTTGTATGCTCTGCTGGTGAGAAACCAGAAGAGCTCTTGCTCAAAATGAAACTGAGTATTTCCATGTATGACAGGCAGCTTGGATCATAAAGTTGAAAGCCAGTGCTATGGGCAAAACTAGGTCAATACAACTGGGTATCCACTGAATGCTAAGCTGTGCAGCTCAACAAAAAGTTGCCCCAGTTATTAAGCCCTGTCTCTGATCAAGTCAGCAGATTTATGCCTAAAACGCTGTCAGTGCTGTTTTGTAATTTTGGCATTTTGACAGCAAAATTCACATTCTGCTCTTGGATGATTATGTTCAGAGGAAGCTCAAACAATAATGGGGAAATATCAGAAGCTGTGATTAGAACACGATGGGTTTTGGCTCCTGCTCTTTAGCCTAATCAGGTCATTTTGGTCATGACTTAAATTTGGCTGTATAGAGACTGACCAAGCGTAACATGTCTTCATACTTGTTTCATATCTGAGTATTCTGCAGAATCTGAAAGGTGGATTCAAGAACACACAAGTGGTGTTGTCATCATCACAGAAATAACCTTTCGCCACGACTATATTGCAAAAACTACAGGAAGCAGAAGGTGTATCACAATTCACCGTAGAATAAGAAGTGACTAAGATTTTTAAAATATATCATGGTTCACGCTTGCATAATGTACTTAGTATGAAAATGAGAAAAAAAAATCCGTTATGATGATAATAAAGCTTTGTAGCATGCTATGAAATTGAAGTAGGAAAAAAGTTTCTCAAGTAAACAAACCACAATACCAGCCCCTGACGAGGTCTTCTCTTAAGAGTAATGCAGAAATGAGTTATCTGTCAATGCTTTAGCCACACTCAAAGAAAAAGCTAGTTCTGATAAAGCTAAAGATGATGATGTTATATATTTATTCACCTGGTATAAAAAATTATAGTCATCTCTTTTAATATGATCTTTAAGGAAACCTAAGAACAGGTGCTCCAATTTTTCTTGAATATCTGGGAAGCAACATTAGGAAAAACTCCTTTGCCTCTATTAAAATTCTTTATGAATGTAATTATCATACACATGAAGAGACTTTAGACAGAATGCAGATAAGTACTGTAAAGGAGGTAATGGAATTAAAAAAGATGACACGGTGATGGGAGAGTAAGAAGTGAAAGCAAAGTAATTCAAATGTGAACGATGTTTTCTTGCAGTAAATGCATTCAGTAAAAAAGTGTAGTTCTCTACAGAAAACAGCTACTGAGACAAAGGTAATTTCAGGGTAACTTATTTTAAAAGCTCACTGCTTGCTTTGGAGACAATAGGTGGCACTCTGTAGCTGAGTTCTTTTTTGAACAGCATAACAACCAGTGTTTCTGAAATGCGTGTTTCTGAAATGCATTTTTCTGCCTCCAGCTTTAACTACTTATCCCATTTACAATTTCTTCTGTGATAAATGCGGCTGAAGGTAAGTTCCTAGGTGCTAACAAAGCGTACTAGCACTTTAATTCTGTGTCTGCATGTTTTATGCCCTCCTGCAGCTTTGTACCGAATACAAACAGAGAAGAGCAGCAGGGGAAATCAAGCAGAAATTAGAAAGGAGTGTGAGATGAAAACATTCCTGGACTGACAGAAGGCAGCAGAAGGGGGGGAAAAAAAAAGATAAAAAAAAAGAAAAGAGCAAAGAAAAGAGAGAACAGGATAAAGGGAGACAGTGCATCTGTAAAGGAGAACAGGGAAGAAATTAAAAAGGTAGAGAAAGAAGAAAGGAAGATTCACTATAATAGAGCCTGGAGCAAAGGAGCAGATAAAGTGCTGCAATCCACACAAATTTACAGGCTCAGAAATCAATGGGAGAATCAATTTGGATGGACTTGGTTACTTGCTTCAGGGAATGCATCAGATCAGATTCTGTAAAGCACATTATAAAATGCAGGCCTGATGTAAATGTATTATTAAATTAATATCTGAAACCAATAAACAGTAACAAATCAGAGTGGGTAAAGCTTCAACACTTAAGAAAGTTTCTTCTGTCATAAAAATATGATTAACAAAAATAAATCAAAAAAGTGAGGCATTTTTCCTCCTGAACTTTTTTTTGGTTCATGTTTGTTTTATTTGTTCATTATCTTGAAAATAGCTAAGTGTTTTGTATTTGCTACATTTGTACTGAATATTTGTTCTGATAAGTTTACTCTTTTACAACAAGAAAATGATAAGACAAAAACCATTGAGTATCCCTATCATCCTTCTGTAGATTGTGAATCCATAGTAATTATAGATTTAATTTAAGAGATCAAAAACTGGACTGATAAATGCAGGGGAAGAGCTTTCTGAAAACAAGTAATTTTTATAATAACTAACTGAAAGAAAATCCATTTTTAATTTCCTTATTTGTGCTGCTGGCTACATTAAAGAATACAG